CAGTTTACGCCCAACAAGGTTTTAATCACGCGCTTTAGCAAGAAGTTACACAGATTTGTATCCTAATCGTAGACAATCCAACCGAAAATTGTTTTCATGTCTATTCAACAGATTAAGAGAAACTGGAAGTTTTCGCCCAAAAAGAGTCAATGGATGACCTATGGTTCGAGATTTACAACAGGATGAAGAGGTATGAAATCTTGTTGAAGATGATCCAGCAACAAGTATCCGTCGTCTATCTGCCAATGTAGGTTTATGTCAGGGTACTGTATCTAACATTTTACAATAACAACAATTATACCCGTAACATTTAACTCCAGAACAATATCTACTGCCAGATGATCTTTTAGCGACAACAAATTTTAGTCAATTTTTCTTGAATAAAAATAGACAAGATCCATTTTTTGTAAATAAAATTCTATTCATTGATGAGGCAACATCTACGAGAAGAGGAATTTTCAACTACAAAAATGCTCATACATCGGCTGTAGAAAATCCAAACAGTACGAGAGTGCGGCACTTTTAGCATGAATTTAAATTAAACATTTGTTTTGGTATAGTCGAAGATAACCTTATAGAACCTTTTGAACTTCCAGCAAAAATTACTGGAAATGACGTATTCCCCCATCGATTGATTGGACGAGGAAGTAAACATCCATGGCCTGCACGTAGTCCAGATTTGAAGCCTCTCGATTTTTATTTCTAGTTTATTGTGGCCCTACTGTTAATACCAGAAATGAATTGTGGCAAAAAATAGTAATAGCGGCTAATATTATTCGACAAGACCGTTCATTCTTCGCAGTTAGAAGACATTTCTTGAAAAGATGTAGAAAATGCATTGAAGTAAATGGCGGACATTTTAAACAAATAATTTGAAATAAATTTTTTGCTTTTGCTATTGTTCTTAGTTTGAAATTGTTAAGTTTTTCAATTTATTATTTTTAAATATTCTTTATCATTTATGTTGTCAAATTTTTGCGTTGTTTCAGTATTTACTAAATATTTAATAAAGTTCTGAATTAATTTGTTATAATTTATAGATTTAACATTATCAAATTGAGAAGTTTTGGAGTACTCCATAAATGTGCACTGCCGTCATAAGAAAAAAACACGTATTCGACATTTTTTCCAAAATTGAGATATTTATTTCATATGTTTTAATATAGCTTTCTGAACATGTTGACGAAGAAAAAATCGCGTATATTGCTGTGGAAGTAATAAATTCGCTTTGTTATTTTCACGTATTTGCACCTCATTGAGTAGTCGTACTAAATATAAACCACGTATTTACTAAATACTAAGAAATACCCGCGTAAAAACGAACATACGTAGTTTTTACTTAGTAGGCGCGCGTTTACGTGGCTGTTGCTTAGCATTGAGTATTTATGCAGTACAAAGCGCATATAAAGTCCACGTAACAGTTAAAAGCTTTAACATTAATGAAATGGTGAATTGGAAAAACTGTCCTTCGATTACAAAGATAAATAGATTAATGCCTTATTTACGAGACGTTTCCAAAATAATATTTATCAAAGAGATTTACCAAATGGAAACTTTCATTCGTTCGAATACAGAACTTTGGAAAATAGTACGTTTACAGAAGTTGATATTTTGCAAGAAGGGTTTAAAAGAAATCCTAATCTTATGCGGCCAAATTTTCGCAATACGCCGTGTGGAATAAGCGCCAAAAAAAAGAGTCGATAATAAAAAATTTGAGTCCACTGTCAGACACGAGGTTATCTTTTTGGCAAAACATTCCTATTTGTTAAAATAAATGAATTAAGTATTTGTTACTCTTAAATTAAAAACTATCGTTTGTACTTTTAAATATTTTTTAATAAATAAGTTTCAAAGTTTTATAGGCTTTGGTTGTATTATGGGTGCCTTCTTTTGTAAAAAAGTCTGTTTTGTTGAAACACAAAAATTAAAAATATAAAACACTTACAAAAATAATAGTATATTATTAAACGAGCAATTTATGGTAGCCATTATTCACGCAGGGTGACGTTTGCGTTTGCGCAAGTCACCCGAGTGAATAATGGCCATAAATTGCGAGTCTAATACTATACTTTGTCCACGACCATTATGGTTTCTTTATTAAATAAAAGTTAAGTGTAGAATGCAAAGTTTTTATTAAACATAGGTAACTAACTGTTGTTTTTTCGACTTTTCGATTTTTCGTTTTTATCGATTTTACGAATTGTCAATGTTTTTCGATTTTTCGATTTTTTTTGTTTTTTTTTTCAATTTTTCGATTTTTTTTCCATTTTTCGTTTTTTTTTTTTTTTTCGATTTTTCGATTTTTTTTCGATTTTTCGTTTTTTTTTTTTTCGTTTTTCGTTTTTTTTTTTTTTCGATTTTTCAATTTTTTTCGTTTTTCGATTTTTTGATTTTTCGATTTGTCAATGTTTTTCGATTTTTCGATTTTTTTTCGATTTTTTTCGATTTTTTTCGATTTTTTCCGCATTTTTTCGATTTTTCGATTTTTTTTCCATTTTTTTCAATTTTTCGATTTTTTTTTTTTCGATTTTCGGTTTTTTTTCGATTTTTTTCAATTTTTCGATTTTTTTTTTATTTTTCGGTTTTTTTTTTTCGATTTTTTGATTTTTCGATTTTTCGATTTTTTTATTTTTTTATTTTTTGATTTATTGATTTATTGATTTTTTGATTTTTCGATCTAGAAAATATCGTTATGGAAAGTATCGCCTATCTTTAGTTATCTACCGGAATGTGCCAGAATTACAAAAGCGTGAATTATCATAATTCACTCCGTGATATATGGGTACCATATGCTTTTAGTTAGGAGGTAGAATATTGATTCATTATTAAGTGGTCGTGGACAAATTTATTTAGGCTAAAATTTTTTGTATTAAGGTGATTACAGCACCCCCTTATAATTTTCGGACAAGGATATCTCAAAAATTAATTTTTTTAAAAAATTAAAATGTTGGCAAAATATATTAGGCAATAATATCTAGAATATGTATATATTTTAAAGTTTTAATTCCTTCCAGTTTCCGAGAAAAAAAATCAAAGGGCTTTAAATTTTGAAATATCATAATGAAAATAAATGCGGAAAATAAATGCGTTCCTCAACAGCACTATTCCTAATATAATCCCTAAATTTAAGCTCTTAATCTTTTGTTAATGATTTTTTAAAATTCGCCAAATTAGTGGCTAAAACGCCTTGTTAAGTGCTATTTTCTGGTTTAAACTGGTGTAAACTGGTGTAAATCGTTGCAAAAAACGAATGATGACTCAGAGTGTACGATACGATAGTTACAGACGCGTTACACTAGAAAGAAGCACTTAACGAGGCGTTTTAGCCACTAATTTCGGCGAATTTTAAAAAATCATTAACAAGAGATTAAGATTTTTTTTCTCGGAAACTGGAAGGAATTAAAACTTTAAAAAATATGCATATTCTAGATATTATTGCCTAATTTATTTTGCCCAATTTTAAATTTTCTAAAAAAATTACTTTTTGAGATATCCTTGTCCGAAAATTATAAGAGGATGCTGTAATCACCTTAACTACAAGCAGAAGTTCCTGTATTTACATTTTTCGAAGGTAAAACTGCGTATATGCACGTTATATGTAGTTTTTCCTTAGCAAATTGTAATTACGTTCTTGTTGTTTAGTATTACAAATATTTTTTCCATTTAAATATGCCGTATTTTTTATTTTTTTGTTATAAAACGGAAATTTCTTGCTTAATCAATAGTTTTTTATTCTCATTTATTAGCTTTTTTGGTATGTAAATTTAGGTACCAAAAGTAGTTGTCTGAAAAAATGTATTTGTAATGTATTTATAAGATAAATCTTTACTCTCCATTTTCTTAAATTTAAGATTTTGTCGAATACGTGGTTTTTTCGTATGACGACAGTGCAGTACTAACTTCAAATTAAGTTTTCCTTCAAATGATGCATTTTAGCGACATGCAACAAGTGTACCTTTTTTAAAACAAATTGGACGCTTTTTCAAAATAATTAATTATTTTTCAAAAATGTCTATTCTTAAAAAACATCTGATGTAAATACTAGATTAGCACGCCAGTTTAGAACGCCCTGTACATGTAATGCAACAAAAAAGCTGGTATTCGTTTGTATCACCCAAAAAAAGGTACTTTCACAAAATTTGGGTATACCTATTTACTCAAAAAATATTTGAATTATCGTAAAAATATTAAAAAAAAATATTTTCTCCACCCTGTAACTTCTTAAGCAAGCAAAATTCTACTAAGGTAAATTGGCTTAAATGAACTTAGTTTTGTCCAAGCTAACCACATCTGAAGTTTGGCCCATTCTTTAATTTTATTTAATTATTGGGTTTTCCCAGTTTGGGTATCATTATTACCTTAGTAGTTTTCCATAGTAGTGGATCATGTTGAAGTCTAAATACTGCATGAATCATATAAGTCAGTATTACCAAACCTTTTCGTGATAATTTCTTTAGTATCGCTCCTGTGATCACATCGAACCCGGCAGCTTCTTTTACATTAATATTATTTTTTATTTAGTATTCGTTAAATTTTGGTAAAATGAATTTAAACACGTCAAGACTTTTTCATTCAGTCTCGTTGCAAAATAAATAGGTTTTAACTGATACTGAATTAATTTCTGTACTTAAACTGTCAAAAATACTTCGATAAGAGTGAAATTATTTAAGAAATGTGGTGCCCAAAATCAACAATCAACATTTAAGTAAACTCATGCCTAAAAATAAATTAAATCGGCGCAAAAAGAAAACTTAAATTTGAGCCATAGTGTACCTCTATTGATTATAAACATATCGAATTGCTTATATTTTCAAAAAATACTCTCCTGAGACTATCCTGATTAGGTTTCGATGAAAAACACGCCACTGACAAAAAAACCCGTTAGAGCCGACAGTCGCCACATGTTTCCCCGCTTATTTTTCCAGGTAGTCTTGTCTGCCTGCTCTGCGTATTTCCAAAAGCTACTTCTCGAAAACCCCTGCAAACACCCGACAATCATCATGCCTCAAGACGTCGGTTACGAGGACCTCAAATTCATCATAGAGTTCGTATACAAGGGGGAAATCGACGTATCCCATACAGAGTTGCAGGTAAATATATTTTAATTTTATCTAAGCGGATAATAACGTAATAAAACTAGGTATACGGATAAACGAATAAACAGAAATAGGTACCTAAATGTCTACAAAGCAATTTTTAAACATTAATTTCACCAAAATATATGAAAGGATTCGGAAGAATTTGAAGTAACATTTTTTAGGTTTAATTATTATAGAATTGTATTTTTATTATTAAAATAATTTTGAAATTTTCTTTGACGGTCATGGCCTACTTTTTTATATTTTGTGTGGATGACTCATATACTTTTATAAAACTTATTTGTTAAAACTAAAAGGACATATTTAAGAAAATGACTCGTCAATATAAGCTTTTTATTGCTGAAATAAATCAGAATTGTGTTCAAACCGCTTTTCTAAATTTAACACGTTTATCGCCATGTGTGGCAAGTGTGCCTCGCACTGAATGTAACTCAGCTGATTTTAGAGAAAAAAGTCATTGATGCTTTCTTGTAGAGCGGACATTTTCCCATTGAAATTTACTTTTGGCCAGCCGAGAAAATGTGAAATGCGCAAGTTACAAGCAAAAAAGTAAAAAGAAAGGTCACTTTTTCATGAAAAATCGAGTTTTCTCAAAAACGACTGTTGGAACCGATTTTAAAAAATATATTGCGCCAATCTATAGTCCTTCAGAAATACTTTGACTGAAAAAAAAAGTCTAGTAAATAAACTTTTCATTTAAAGTTGGTTCCCAAGCACCGTGTAATACAACTCAAATATTTACAGACGGTTCAAAGTCTGAAACCGGCAAAGGTTATGCTTTTTACGTCCCAATTTGCAACTATAGGCAGCAATTGAAATCTTCAAAGCAATTGAATCTTCTGTTGAGGGGTGTCTTAGTGAAAAAATAAACAAAGCTGTGATTATGTCAGATTCTAATTATGTTCTACAATAATTGGAAAGTCATGTCACAAAAAATATAATCAACACATAATAATAAATATTAGATCCTTATTGTGCAACTTAAGTAAAAAAAATATTAAAGTAGATTTCATTTGGACCAAAGGACATGAAGGAATACGAGGGAATGAAATTGTCGATTCGGCGGCGAAACAAGCTACTCTTAGTGAAATAGAGGATGTATTTGCCTACGATGATATAATCAATTTCTTTAAGAACCGATTGAGTACAGATTGGACAAATTTATGGAATGCCTACGAATCAACTTCCAACAATCATTACATTTATATACACCCTACACTGCCACAACTATAACACGAATGAAACTAAACCTCGGTTACACCTCTTTAGAATCGGTATCAATGAGACCCCTACATGTGAGTGTGACAATTTAACAGTCGGTGACTTGAACCATTGTGTGTACGAGAGAATTTAAGAATAAAGTACAAAAAACAAACCATCCTAATTCTCTCAGATAGCCAGGCAGCTTTAAAGGCTCTTGATTCAAACAGAATTAAGTCAAAGCTTGTCTGGAACTGCCTTGGAATACTAAATGATCTGGCACAACAAGGTAAAACTGGCGTGGGTACCAGGGCACAAAGGTATCCAAGGAAATGAAAAGGCTGATGAACTCGCCAAAGAGGGATCAGATCTACCATTCACAGGACCCGAACCGGTATTTGGGATAAGCAAAACCTCTGCTCGACAGGCAGTGAACAGGTGGATAACCATAAAACACCAAATTCACTGGCAACAGATAAGAGGGCACAGAATCAGTAAGCTCATGCTAAGGGGACTAAACCCACGCATGTCTACTGAGGTACTACAACTCGCAAGGCCTCAGATATCCAACATTGTGGGATTACTAACGGGGCACTGCTTGCTGAAACACCTTCATGTAATGGGATTACACAATGATCCCACTACGTGTAGACTTTGCATGGAAGAGGAAGAAACCTCATACCATGTGATCTTCGAATGCGAAGCTCTTACTGGGCAACGTTTCATCCTTTTCGGCCTAAAACTGGAAAGAACGCCCCAGGAACACTTGGTAGGAAACCTATTACAACTAACCAAAGACACAGGACTATTCCAAAGATAGTACCTGAATACGGGGAAAGCAGGGGAATACAATAGACCCAAGAGGCTGTAGTGTTCTGGGCCAAACCTAACCCTACCTGCTTACAACCGATAAAGATTAAAAAAAAAGACTTGAACCATATATTTTTTAACTGTTCCAAATACAAGTACAATTCCGACAAATTCATGAAAAAACTAGTTTCACTAAAAGTAAATCTTCCAACTAATATCAGTACTTTACTAAGTACTTTTAATAAAGATATATATGACGAAATAAATTGTTTCCTTAAGAAATCGAATATCAACATATAATTACTTATTTTTAAAATCCTTTAAAACAAAAATCTGTGGCTAATAAATAGACTTAGTCTGAAGCCAACAACCCCTCCTACACACACATTCAATATTTTTTGACTGGCTTTATTCATTTTCGGTAAGTGCAATAAATTATGTTTTTTTGTTTGTTTGTTTGTTTATTTGTTTGTTTGTTTGTTTGTTTGTTTGTTTGTTTGTTTGTTTGTTTGTTTGTTTGTTTGTTTGTTTGTTTGTTTGTTTGTTTGTTTGTTTGTTTGTTTGTTTGTTTGTTTGTTTGTTTGTTTGTTTGTTTGTTTGTTTGTTTGTTTGTTTGTTTGTTTGTTTGTTTGTTTGTTTGTTTGTTTGTTTGTTTGTTTGTTTGTTTGTTTGTTTGTTTGTTTGTTTGTTTGTTTGTTTGTTTGTTTGTTTGTTTGTTTGTTTGTTTGTTTGTTTGTTTGTTTGTTTGTTTGTTTGTTTGTTTGTTTGTTTGTTTTATTTATTTATTTGTTTTATTTATTCATTTATTTATTTAGGTCAGAAACTTACTTTCCTCCTTAAATTTGTTTGCGTTGTTTTATATTTTTATTTTTTTTTAATTATGTTTTTAATTTTTTTTTTTGGATCTAAACAGCTTCATCGCGTGGGAGTGTGTTCAAATTCTTTGAACAGCTCTCGTATAATAAATTATTTGAGTGGAGTTTTACTCTCTTATAAAGTAACGATTCGATACATGAATTCCTATTACTATTATAGCAGGTAACATAATTGTTATCATGAACGTTGCACTCAATAGAATACACCAAATGGGAAACGGTTACGTGTCATAGTCATAGAAAAAAAGATGTTTTTATAAGATCAACGACCGAGATCGACAAATCTTGAGTGCAATCGTCCTGGTTTTCGTGTTTTCTACACCGTTCGTTCGTTAGTTTCGTTACGGAACGTGCTGTTAGAACTAGAAAGGTGAATAAATTCATTGTAAGTTGCCACATTACTGGAAAAAAACAACATCGAATCATACTGCATAAACTCCCTAGAGAAATATGAACACATGGGAAAATAACGAAACGCGAACAGTAGCGTACTAACTACTGTCCATCCGATCTGTTCATCTGCTGTTTATTTTCGAAATAAAAATAGACCATATGGTAGCTCCGTCATTTTGGAACCCGACTAATATCAAAATAAAAAAATATTATTATGAATTAAAACTACAAACGATGTAGATGATTGTAGTGACTTTTATTTTTTTGTAGTTTTAAGGTTTTTACAAAAAAACTATTTATAATTTTAAATTTATTTAATATTATTATTATTTAAAACTGCTAAATTTGTATTTGGAATCGTTTGTAGTTTTATGTAGTGAAAGAAAAAATTTGAAAAATAAAAAAAATTATATTGTAAAGTTCCATTATAAAAATCGAAATTATTAATGTTCACAGCAATTACTGAAAACTACAAACATACAAAATGATTGTAGTGCTTTTAAAACGTTTGTAGTTTTATGTTTTATGTAGTAAACGAAAAAATTTGAAAAAATAAAAAAAATATTTTATTTCGTAAAGTTCCATTACAAAAATCGAAATTATTAATTTTCACAGCAATTACTGAAAACTACAAATATACAAAATTATTGCAGTACTTTTAAATCGTTTGTAGTTCTATGTAGTGAAAAAAAAATTGAAAAAATCAAAAAAATATTTTATATTGTAAAGTTCCATTATAAAAATCGAATTTATTAATTTTCACAGCAATTAGATGCTGAAAACTACAAACATACAAAATGATTGTAGTAGGTACTTTTAAATCGTTTGTAGTTTTATTTAGTAAAAGAAAAAATTTGAAAAATAAAAAAAATATTTTATTTCGTAAAGTTCCATGTAGTCTATTGACCGAGTGGGTTTTACTGACCAATTGGTGCCCGAGGATAAAACCAAGTGTATTTTATGTTTTCGGGGTCGCAGAATAAATATTGGCGCTCAAAATTCGCTTCATTTAGATCACTATAGCACGCTATAGTGGTGTAAAACTTTTTTTTCGTTCTTTTGTTTTTGTTACTTTTACAGTTTTTTTCATTTTTGATTTTTATAAATATTTTGTTTTTATATAAATTTTGTAAAATAAAAATACCTTACAAAATGTGATCGAGTATTATTGCTATTCTTTTCTATTTTATTATACAGTATTATTTTACTATTACATAAGCAGTGAAGTTTAATATATCTACAAAAATTTAAAATATTTTTATAATTTTATTGATTGCTCTTTTATTTTTTCAATTTTTTTCTTTCGCTACATAAAACTACTAACGATTCCAAATACAAATTTAGCAGCTTTAAATAATAATAATAATATTAAATAGATTTAAAATTATAATTAATTAGTTTTTTTGTAAAAACCTTAAAACTACAAAAAAATAAAAGTCACTACAATCATGTACATCGTTTGTAGTTTTAATTCATAAAAATATTTTTTAATTTGATAATCATTGGTATTGCAATAAAAACCTTCTGCTTTAATTACTTGGGTTTCTCCTATATTCTTGGCTTTTAGGACTTTTAAGTATCAAATTAATTAATTATATTAATATTAATTTTAATACGACCCCTAATAACTAAATGTTCAGACAATACCTTTTATAATTACAAGACCTTCATTCATTCATAATTTAGTTTTTTTTTTGTTTTTTTAAGTTTTTT